GTGTGTGTATATGGCATCACGAAAGTGTGAACCCAGCTAGACTGAATGAACACCGACTGCGGTTTTTACACACCGCGCCCCGCTCCCTTGTAATGCATTACTTTGGTTTGTCGAACAAGCAAGCCGGTTGTGAATACTACAACAAAATTAACCTGTTTCAACGAGGAGGGAACTGGACGATATTCCACTCACACCNCACACCGGGTAGAACGGTGATGGTGGTCTGGGTCTAGTTATTTGTGACAAACGTATTTACGCCAACATTTCTAAGTATTTCCGGAGTAGATTTCAGTGATATTGATTGATTGAATAAGTAAATAAAAGCAGAGTTGAGTGAATGCGTCGCGTAGAATCAAGATATCATCTGTACTCATATGTCTGCTTGCGTTAATCCGGTGCGTAAATGGAAACGAATGTATCACAAGATTTCATTTATCACTGAAAGAATTTCAGTGTTGTTGTTTCGCCCGACCAAACAGCAGGTTCATGAGATTCAAATCTAGACACCTGGTGGGTGTACTCAATGTGATGTACACTAGTGTACATTATCGGGGTCTGTTTCCCAGCACCCGACTGGACCTCACTGTTACATGATATAGCTCTCATCCATTAGGGCCATGGAACGGATGCATTCAACTTTATGAAACAAATTAGCAAAGCGAGATGAACTGAAAGTTCAACACTGAATCCCAGTCATGTCAGTGCGGTATAAAATTCAGTTCCGTCGCCTCCTACTCCTCCGCGACACATATACGAGAAACAAACATTTAGATGGGGAATTTTTTCGATAATGGTGAAAAAAACTAGTAAAACAGATTGCTATCGTTTATTGATCATATTGATGTGTTATGTGCATGTGGATGAGTGGATTTTTATCGCGATTGGTTTTGTGTACAAGTGTAATCACATACACACACGAAAAATAAATAAATAAAAAAGGTACACTAATAATAATAATAGCACTCGGTCACTGTGCAGAGCTCTGCGCAAAGTCGAGCGACATCTGAGTGAATGATGAAAAGTAACTACATGGAACCGGGTCGAAAACCAGCGGGTAAAAACCAAATAAGTATTGGATCGGAAAGCTAAGTTTGATAGTGTTTTATTTTTTTATTTGCTTAATGTTGTCCATTCT